TTTATTAATAAAATTAAAGATACACCAGAAAGGGGAACTGTGCCAAGACTTTTCCAGGAGGCCTTCCTCCCAAAAAACAGATAAAACATGAAATGACTAAAAAATAACAATTGGGGGGGCTGGACCTGACTCAATTGACAAATACATAAACCAATAAAGAATCAACATCTAATAGAAGCGATATCAAAGATATCCATAAAGAAAGCCCTTCTAGCCCGAATAGGAAGTGTAGACGGGCTAGCATATCGTTTTTTTGGGACCGTGTGATCCAACGATAAGAAGTGGGCTACCAAGTTGCCTTTGCGCATAACATGACCGAAGCTCAGACCTTTCCTCTTCGCAAAGACTTTGGTTTCCTGAATTAGATCCGACCAGCACCTCGCATCTCCATCACTCATTAAAGCTAACACCATAATCGAATCAAATTCTACCTGAAACCCAGTGTATCCATCGTTAACCGCACATCGAACAGCCTCTGTCAGTGCCTTGAACTCAGCTTCCACCGCAGACGATGCTGAAAGCGGAAAGCTAATAGCCCATAACATCTCTCCCTCAGAGTTTCGAAGAATACTTCCTCCCGAAGCACCATCAGGTGAGTATTTAGCATCCAAATTCAGTTCAACTGTGTATTAGGTTTACGCCATCGGATAATTTGAACAGTATTACCTCGTGCTTTGAAATTAGGCGTGACCATCTCTTCTTCCTTCAAAATAATGTTAACAGTGTTGTTCTTTAGTCTGGGAAAAGACCACGCCCAGTTTCGAGTATATGCTTTAATTTGAGATATGATATTGTGCGTAGTACATGCACTATTGTGTTAGTGATTTCCCCAAACAAAATTTGCATAAGATTTCCACACATGCCAACAAATAATTCCTGGCATATTATGTTTAAAGATATCCATCACATTTTTCTGACCAGTCTTCAACCACCAATTTTTGAAAATATGACTGATATTCTCGCTCTAAGGTATAGGGATTCCAAAAATCTTCATAAAATAGTGCCAGACAGGTTTGACAATATCACAGTGGTAGAAAAGATGCTTCAGAGTATCTGAATGCTTTCTGCATAGCACACACATGGATGGTTCAGTAACCACATTAAATCTCCTAAGTTTGTCAGATGTTGGAATCAGACCTTTACTAATCTTCCACATAAGTAATTTCACCTTAAGCTCTTGCTGAGGATGCCAAATATGTTTATATGTGAAAGTGGCATCCTGTTTAGATCTAGCTTCTTCATATGCTGTTTTAAAAGTGAATTGACCAGTTGTCTCTTCTTCCCAGATCAATGTACCAGTGTTGTCAACAGAGCAAAGTGAAAGGGCTTCCTCGTGTATATTGCAAACTCTTCTCCAAACGGAAGAGTCAACAGAGCAAAGTGAAAGGGCTTCCTCATGTATATTGCTACATCTTTTACAATTTTGTTCCAATGTTTTTTAAAAATATATTGAATTTCATAACTTTTTACGAGCTTTCATGTGACACAATTTGAATATATAAAAATTTAAAAAAATTTGAAGCCCATATGGTGGTGAAAAGGTTCGTTGCAAGCATGTTTCGTCAATAAACTAAATTCTAAACTAATATTTTTTATAAAAATATGTTCAAATGGTTGGATTGTTAGGAAAAACATGATTGAGTGGGTATTACTTTTCATATAATCCAGGATTTGTTTACTTGGATTTTAGATTAAGTTTATTGACGGAACATGGTTGCAACAAGCCTTTTCACCACCATATGGACTTCAAAAAATTTTAAATTTTTATATATTCAATATTGATGTCATATGAAAGATCGTAAAAAATTATGAAATTTGGTATATTTTGTTAAAAAAAATTGGAGCAAAATTGTAAAAGATATAGCACTTAAAAAAAGAGTTTTTTTTACTTAGGCCCCCCCACCCCATCACCCTCTGTGCAACGCAATTCTTCATTTTCTTGGTCCAAAAGATGGAATCTCTCATCCCAGGAGCTCCCTCACCCCGACCCGACAGGATGGTGGGAAGGTTAATCACGGTGACTCAGTCAGCAAAGCGGCTGTAAGCCTTATACATGTTCGAACCAGAGAGGTCCAGCCTTATTTCAGGTTCTGTAACCTCCACACGGCCGCTGCGGGTTTCGAACCTTGGTCACTTGGTCCAATTTTCTCACCACTCGACCAACTGAGATACCTGTGCGGGTAACAATTCTTCCTTTTCTTAGTTTAGACATAAGTCGCCATTTGATTTGGCGACTCTCCTAACCCTAGTTTATTTGAGCAGTATTTTCGTAGATAGTTTTAATCTTACCCTAATTTCGTAAATACTTCATTTTTTAACATTAATGTGGCAAAAACCGTTGTACCCTAATTTCTTGCAAATACTGAAGGGGGAGCTTGACACTATATCAAAGGGGCACTATACATACCACAAGTCAGCACAAGAAGAAAACATTGTTCGTGACATAATAGGTGCTAACAACTATAGCCTACACTAGAGCAAGGCAGACTTCGTGTACTTCCCTCTGAATACTGGCAACCATTGGGTTTTGGTAGTACTAGATATCAAGCAAAGAAAGGTAAGAGTGTACAACTCCAATGCTAGAAGAGGTGATTCACTAAGGGATATCAGGTCATATGTTGCATCCATAACAGTCCTCCTGCCCAGAATAACGGACTATCACAGAGTGTACGAACATATGGGTGAGGATCCTATGGGTGAAAGGTTTTTGGAAATTGAGCGTGTAGAAGGATGTTCACAGCAAGATGATGGGTAAGAGGATATAAATTTGCTTAATCAGATTGTATAGTAGTGTACTTTTTTATTTTAAAAATTTATTTTAATTTTTGTTGTTATGCATCAGGGGAAACTGTGGAATGTTCATGCTCAAGATGGCAGAATTTCTAATGGTGGGGATGGACATGGATGACATATATCCTGAAGCAATACCATTATTTAGGGAAGAAATGGCAACTGAACTGGTCCTATATAGCGAGAGGAGGCGGGGTGAGAGAGAATGAAATGAAGCTATGCAGAAATGGGATTGTAGGATGAAACAATTATGTTTGTTTTGGAAGACTCCTATATTTACTAGTATTTTTAATATCATGTCAGGACATCTAGACATCTAGTACATTCGTTTTGAAAAACTTGGTTAACGCAACTTTCATTGTGTTTTGAATGTATGAAATATGCTTTATGACAATGCATTGTGACAATGCATTTTATTGAATTAGGTTCAAAAAATCTGTTTGATTTTTACATTGAGGATGACTTTGTGTCAATGCATTCTACAGGGTACTTATATTTATGTAAGCACGGATTGTTACTGAAGAAAACCCGTGATAAATGACATTTGGATGACAGTGTTTAGAAAACAAAATGACATCAACTTTGAAATCTGTCTGTTCAAGGGAAGTACGTCCCCTTGGCTAGTTTATCTAGAGCATTTTTTATATGAACATGTAGATGGATACTAGGATTGAATGTCATTTACATGCAGTAAATAAATGACAACAAAGTGACAATTAACATGACATTTTTTGGAATACAAAATGCCATCAAATCTGACATTTGTCATTTATACATAAACCAAATGACATTACATTATTGAGATGACATTTGGGACAAAACATTTGGATAAAGAACAAGTCATAAACACTTAAATGCCAAGAATGGCTAAAGCACAAAACCTTAAACGTTTAAGGAAATGATAAACAAGTCCAAACCACATAGCAGAATTGTTAAAAGTACAAAAAAAACAGAAGACAACATAAAATGAGTGGGCAAATCTACATCACTGGGTATTAATTGGAATTGGATTTCTACAAGTTTTCTTATTATGCCCAAGCACATGACATCTAGAACACTTTTGACGTTTTGAACCTCTATATTCTCCAATGGATGGAATCCTGCATTTCTTAGGGCAACCAGGAGGACGCTTCAAACAACTTGGTGGCTTGCATCTCTGGTTTTGAATATTAGCTGGAATTGATCAACTGTCAGGATCAGCAATAGGATGCATGATACCAGACCATGTAGCAAGCCAAGCATCTCTTGTGTAATATGGAGATATGTACGTATAACATGAAAGGTGTGGGCGTATACCGATTGCAGCCACAACATGAACACACACAAATTGATCTAATTGAAAGTGGCCGCATGTACAACATCTAGAGTTGAGGTTTACCACAAAGGACTTGCATCTACTGTCAACAACTTCAAATTCATATGCACATGATGGTTTAACCTGTGAAATAAAAAAAATAAGAATATGAAAGTAGATAAAAAAGAGAATTAGCAAAAGAATATAGCAGTAATATGTGGCTATGAAGTATAGAAAATGTCAACTTATATATGAATATTAAGTAGAAGAAAAATGATAAATAAAAACGCTAGTAAGACTATTTGAATATGAAGTACACAAAATGACAAATTTATAAAGACAAAATGACATATTAACAAACAAAGTGGAATTATAAAAGGAGATGAAAAAATGAAAACTGACTAATGGTATTCAAAGTCAAAAAATAAGCTTTGACATACCTTCATACGTGTGGATTCAGCTTGCAAAGCTACCAGACGTTTCTCACATTTCTTTGTGAGTATAGTACTTGTTTTCTCAGCTTTATCTTTCCTCTCTGTGAACCATTACTGCATCCTTTCACGCAAGAAATCAACAAGTTTAGACACAGAATACTCTCTTGCACAAACATTGACTTTGTTCATAGACTCAGCACAATTTGATGTCATAATATTATATCTCTTTGGGCCATACATTACTTTTGATCATGTGTTAGCACCTAATTTGTCTAGCCAAGTCCTTATCTTGGGGTCTTCAGAATCCAACATTAATAAGTAGTCATCATATTCTTTCATAGTTGCTGCCATATAGGCAGCTTTGAACTTCCATCCCAAACCAGCTGCAGATCCTCTGAATATTGATGTTATGTTACAACCAAGATGAGCAACACAAAAACCGTGGCTAGCATGTGGCGAGTTCAGAAACGGCCTTGATAAGCCCTTTATGCCCATCAGATACTACATACAGGTCATGTCTGTACTTTATTGATTGACAAACTTTGGATAAGAACCATTTCCAAGAAGCTTTAGTTTCAGAACCACAAATACCAAATGCAATAGGAACTATGTGACCATTGGCATCTTGGCAACAAACTGTAAGGAGAGTGCCTTTATAGTATGCCTTCATGAAAGAACCATCCAATATAAGAACATGTCTGCAGTAGGGCAAAGCTTCTATCAATGGTTTAAATGACATAAAAAAGGTAGAAAATGCATCATCCTGCCCTGTGACTAGATTAAACATAGAGCCAGGATTTGTTTTCTCAAACACATAAGCCATTGAAGGCAAAAGCTGATAGGATTCAAGATCAGAACCAAATTGCAGTTGCATTGCTTTCTTCTGTGCTTTCCAAGCTTTGTTGTATGACATGGAAATTCCATACTGCATACTCATGTCCTCACGAATTTGCTTTGGGGGGTATGGTTTACTGGAAGCATCAAGGTATTTGTGTGCAATAATATTTGCTATCACACTAGCAGATGCCTGTCTATGTTTGCCTTGTCTGTAATCAATAGAGCATGTGTAAGCTGGCCGGAATCTGAAAAGAAAAAAATGACATTATTATACAAATACATAATATAAAGTTGACAGTCCTGTATAAGAATGTCACCACAACATGCCATTCTTATAAACCAGAATTTAGAATGAAGTGAATTAAAGAAGGAAAATTGAAGTTACCTTCTGATTTGAAACATTGTTACGCCATGTAGTTTTACATCTCGAACACTCCAACAACATTTCGGATCTAAGCAAATAACATGCAAACATATTTTCTTCGATGTCTTAGTTCTGTATTGGAAGTGGTTTGTGATAGCATACATCTTCAGATGGTGGATAAGTTTTATTTTTATTTTTGTAAATAGCATGGAGAAGAAGATAAGTAGGATGGGACTGTGTGATGATTTCAAAATTTTGGAGAAATGAGAATGAGTCAGATGATTTAGTTAAAAGGCCATCTGACATATCATCTGACATGTCATCACTGTCTTCATATGGTTCATTTTCTACAGTTGCAGACACAGTGTTACCACAAGAAACAATATCTTCGGATTGGCCACAACTTACCCCAGATAGCATAACATTTTCATATTGCCCAAATGGTGGGCCATCATCAAAAGAAAGTGCAGGTGAGGAGGAATGTTGTTGGGCAGAAGAAACAACAACATTCTCATAAGTGGTATGTTGTTGTGAAGCATGGGAAGAAGAAACAACAACATTCTCATCATAAGGGGTATGTTGCTGTGAAGAAATGACAACATTTTCAGACCAAGGAGAAGCAGATGGTCCAACATCAATAGAAAATGCAGGTGAAGATGAAACATGATAAAACTCAACACAAAGTGGATACAATGAAAAATATGGTTGAAGAGACTTGATATGAAGATAAAATGTTAAGGTAGATTGATCATTTATAGTAACGGGAGGAGGAAATCCATCTCGCATATAAGAAAGCCTGAAATTATGATTAGCTTTGTACTGAGAAAGGATGTCACTCAAAGAGTTAATAAAAGAAGCATATTGAACATTATAGTTAACATGAAGGCCACATGTGTGGACATTGTTGAACACGTTGTTAGAATCCCAAAAACCGTCAACCTTGACCATAACAAGTAAAATAGGATCCATTATGGTAAAAAGGTTCCTAAAAAATGCAGCAAAAGAAATATTTCAGTATGACAAAATCTAGGAAAAAGACAGTTCGGACAAAATTATGACAATTTTGTTAACAATATGAGAGTTTATAAGGATGTGTACCAATTATATACAATTACAGAACATAAAAAGGAGAAATAAAAAAATGCATATACATGACAGGTAGGACAAACTAAATGACAGTTCGGACAAAATTATGGCAGTTTTGTTAACAATATGACAGTTTATAAGGATGTGTACCAATTATATACAATTACAGAACATAAAAAGGAGAAATCAAAAAATGCATATACATGACAGGTAGAACAAACTAAATGACAGTTCGAAGGGCATAATTTAGGTAGAAGAATAGAGAATTTAACAAAAACAAAATAAATTGTAGATACAAACTGATATCTAAACTAGCCGATGAAATTTAATGAAATAAAACCGAGTACAACTACATACGAAATAAATTGTTGATTATAATGAATTTGAAATCGATCATATGATGAAAGGTTTGATAATATGAAATTGAAGAAAAAAACAGAGTTTGAAGGAAAAAACAGAACGCAAATGCATATATGTATATGTATTCAACTGAAATATTGTCGCTCCAATACAAGCAATTGCGAATTCAATTTAACAACAATTGAAGAAGAATTGACGAATGAAAACAGAATCACGGTCATAATAAGTTATTATGAAAGCATGAAATTTGAAGTAAACGTACTCTGCAAAGAACGAAACACTGAGGCACCTATGACGTCGTACTCCAAGAGAAATCCATGGCAGAAGAATGCAGGAAAAACAACGAATGATTAGTTAGGTTGAATGATATCCAACAAACTTAGGAAACTAATAGCGATACTCAATCTGAACAAGGAAACTACTTTGAGAAAGGAAACTCCTTAACCGTTTGAAACGGGATAACCGAAAAAGGCCGGTAACCTCCTTAATAATATCACAAATTCGAACAAGGGTATTTAGGATATTTCCTAAAGTAGTAAAACGCAAGATAGGACCGTATAAGTCCTATTAACGAGAGAAAACTTGGTAAGTCCTAATATGAGTTTTTTAGCATGTTTAAGTACTATTATGGCTAATTTTACTATTTACATCCACATGACTAAATACAATCAACTCAATACTCCCTCCGGTCCCATAAAATTCTTCCCACTTTCCTTTTTGGGCCATCCCAAAATATTCTTCTCACTTACCATTTTTGGATAATTTGTGTGGTTCACATTCATTTCACTTTTTTCTTACACAATCACAACCATACATTTCCACTTTATTCCACTATCTTAATCTCCGTGTCAAGTCAAAGTGGGAAGAATTTTATGGGACGGAGGTAGTATATAATAGAGACAAAGATTTTGAAGGAAAGTCAGGCTAGGTCAGTCATCCATCCCTCTATTTTCTACTACGTATCAAGGATGTTAGATAAAGAGACATTCAAATTAAAAATGGATAACACAGAACATTAGCATCTTCTAAGTATATCTTTTTTAGAGTGTGTGCTGCAATCATAATGCCACCGAAAATCTCAGCAAATGTAAAGTTGTGTCGAACAAGGAAGGAAATTTTATGCATTCACCTGCATCATTGGAATGACCCATGCATGGTCATATATACATGCTACTATACAAAACGTCTCCCGTACGTTGCATGGTAACGGCGAGAATCATGGAGCAAAAGGGGAAAGAAAATAAAGATCTACACCTTCTATCTAAGACACAAGCTACGTACTACAAAAAATGTGACAAAAAATATTTGTACATAATAATAATTCCAACACCCCTCGTCAAGATGGAGCATGGGGATTCCAAATGTCCATCTTGCCAAGTAAGTAGGAAAATTGATAAGCTCCAAGGGCTTTAGTAAATAAGTCGACAGGCTGTTCGGTTGTAGCGGTATAAGATGGAATGATCGTACCGGCCTGAATGTGATCCCGAATAAAGTGACAATCAAGCTCGATGTGTTTTGTGCGTTCATGATAAACGGGATTAGAAGCAATGTGTATAGCGGCTTGATTATCGCAGTATATAGTGATTGGTTTACCATGGGAGACTCCCAATGATCGAAGAAGATTGCGCAACCAAATGAGTTCCCAGGTCAACGATGTCATAGCCCGATATTCAGCTTCGGCGGAGGAGCGTGAACAGTAACTTGCTTCTTGGTGCGCCATGAAATGGGAGATGATCCCAAAGTGACAAAATAATATGTGACCGATCGGCGTGTGATGGCGCAAGTTGCCCAGTCGGCGTCACAGTACCCAACGAGAGAGAGTGGTGAATCGGAGCATAACAAAATACCCTGTCCCGGACATCCTTTGAGATACCGTAACACACGAAGTACAGCCTCTCAATGTGCCACCTTGGGATTTTGCATGAACTGAGATAGTATGTGAACGGAGTAACATATATCCGGTCTGGTCAGGGTCAAGTAAATCAATTTCCCGACAAGCCATCTATATCTTTCGGGATCATGGAAACCGGGGCCAGAAACAGACTGAAGTCGATGATTTTGTACCATAGGAAACACCGCCGGTTTGGATCCCAATAGCCCGGTTTCTGTCAAAATGTCAAGTACATATTTTCGTTGGCACAAGAAAATACCTGTAGGATTGTGTGCCATCTCAATTCCCAAAAAATATTTCATTACACCCTGGTCCTTGACCGGGAAGGTGGCTGCCAGAAATTTCTTGAATTGAGTAATCATGTCCCGGTCATTCTTGGTTATCAATAAATCGTCAACATAAATAAGGATGCATAATATTCGATTATCCCTACGCATGGTGAATAAGGAATAGTCCGCATGTGATTAAAAATCCATATGCCCGTAAGGAAGTGGTAAGCTTAGAAAACCAACACCGCGGGGCCTGGCGAAGACCATAGAGCGACCGGAGCAATTTACATACCTTCCCGGATGAGGTTGTAGAATAACCGTGCAGCAAATGCATGTGCACATCTTCATGAAGGTCTCCATGCAAAAAGGCGTTATCCACATCCATTTGGTGCAACTCCCAATGACGAGAAGCAGCAACAACCAAAATAGTACGAATCGTCACCATTTTCGCAACCGGAGCAAAGGTCTCACTAAATCAATCCCTTGGACTTGTTTGTTGCCAGAAACTACAAAACGTGCCTTGTATCGTTCCACCGAGCCATCATTTTTATATTTGATCTTATATACTCATTTGCAATAAATCGCCTTCTTGCCAGGTGCCAAGTCTTGAATTTGCCACGTCCTCGTTCGCTCCAATGCTTGAATTTCTTGAGTCATAGCATCCCTTCATCTCGGATCATGAACTGCCTCCCCGAAGCTAGCGGGCTCTTTAGTCGTAGAAATAGCTGCAAGAAAGGCTCAGTGCGGAACCGAAAAATGATTATAATTTACATAATGAGTTATGGGATAAGGAGTACCTGCTGAGTCGGCCGAAGAAGTAGGGATACTGGCGGGGTGGGTTTATTATAACCGTGTTCATCTGCACATCATAGTCCTTATGCCATGCCGGAGTTTGTCGTGAGCGAGCCCCCCGTCGAATAGTGTCAACAGGAGCTGAAGTATCGTTTCCAAATGTGTTGACCGAATGTTGGACAGTTGACTGCTCAGTGTCATGCGCGTGGTTTCCAGAAGAGGCTTGTAGACCTGCCTGTTGCTCGTCACTATCAATCCCATGCACGTCGTTATTATGGGCTACGTTACCCAGTGGAATCTCATCATCAAATTCATGTCGTCGTACGTCTCCCTCGTATGCATGCATACCATCTACTCGATCGTCAAAGCCTGTTGCCTCCTATATGAAAGGAAAGCAGTGTTCAATGAATTTGATGCCCCAGGAAATAAAGTGACGTCCATGTTGAAGATCAAAAACCTTCCAACCCTTTTGAGAATATGCGTAACCCAAAAAAACACATTTCACACCCCGAGGTCCAAATTTGTCACGTGAAACATTGACCTCATGAGCATAACATAGACAACCAAAGACCCTAAGTTGATCATAGAGGGGCGGTTTGTTATAGAGCAATTCATATGGGCTTTTGTTGTCTATAACCGGAGAAGGCAATCGGTTGATCAAGTACCCAGCTGTCAAAATGCATTTACTCCAAAACTTTATTGGTAAATTGGCATGAAACCTTAGAGTCCTAGCAACGTCCAAAATATTCCTATGTTTCCTCTCGACTCTACCATTTTTTTGAGGTGTGTAAACGCATGAGGTTTGGAAAATTATGACTTGTGTCAAAAAATATTCGCGAAGACTAGTAAATTCCTTGCCATTGTCACTTCGCACCACTTTCACAATTTTGTTAAATTGACGACTAGTCATGGCAATAAACTGTTTTAGAATATTTTTCACCTCACTTTTATCACGCATCAGATGAACCCAAACAGCTCTAGAAAAATCATCTACCATAGTCAAAAAATAATGTGCACCACAAGTAGATAATGTACGATATGGGCCCCAAATATCACAATGAATCAATTCAAAAGGTTCAATGGCACGAGCATTATTAATAGTAAAAACATCATGTGTTTGTTTCACTCGCAAACAGGCATCACATGCATTATTCTGGACCGTATGTAACAAACTTTTATTTAAATAACCAAGCAACCGTAAAACTTTCACTGACGAATACCCCAACTGAGAATGCCACAAATCACTTGAGTTGGATTTCTCCACCGCGTATGCTTTTGCCCGATCGAGACTCCGGAAATAATAAACTCCCCCTCGTCGCTCACCCACTCCAATCGGCGTCCTCGTAGGTAGGTCCTGTATCACACACAAATCATTAGTAAAAAATATATCACACTTTCGGCCGTCAATTAATTTTCCCAAGGAAATTAAATTGCATTTCAATCCGGGTACTACTAAAACATTAATTAAATCCAGTCGTTCACTGAGCAATACAGTCCCCACGTGAGTAGCCTGCGTGATATCACCATTTGGCAACGAAACCGCCACCGGTGGTATCCTGGTCAGCTCTTTCAAATTCCGGTTTAGGCCAGTCATGTGATATGATGCTCCTAAATCCAAAATCCATTCATTATGAATTTTCATACCTGTGAGCTTCTCCTCCGAGGAAGTGATCTTACACTTTTCCATGAATTTCAAAAGAGACTTCCATTGCTCATCGGTGAATTCCGGTTTATGCATGGGTGCCTCCTTTGTTTCACGCATAACATCGCCATCATCCCGGTAGTCACCTACGTGCAAGGCATGCACGGTTTCGCGTCCATTGGTGCGTCCAGATCCTCTACGTCCAAGTCCTCCACGCCTCGTCCACCACGTCCTCTTCCCGGATTTTCATACCACCAGTCCGGGTAGTTCCCGGTGCGGCGGAAGCAGTTTTCCACTTCATGCCCTGTTTTGTGATAGAAAGAACATTTCGGCCGTTCCTCCCTTGGCCCACCGATAGGTCCAGTGCGTGCAATAAAGGCTACTGCTTCGGTTTTTTGCTCCTTTCCCTTCGTCAAGTTGTGATGCCTTTCTTCTTGTATCACCATGTGATACACCTTGGTCAATGAGGGAAGTTCATCCAAACTAAGAATATTTGAACGTAAATTCCCGTAAACCTCGTGATCAAGGCCCATCAAAAAATCATGGATCTTCTTCGTCTCCACATGCTTGAGAAACAATTTTTTGAGATTGCACGTACAAGAACCGCACGTACATTAGGGAATATTTCGAAATTCATCATAGTCGTCCTAGTAGGCCTTCAATCGCCCAAAGTAGGTGGTGATGGTTTGTCCATTCTGCCAGCAATTCCGGATCAGCTCCTTCGACTCATGTGTCCGCATCACATCGCCTACGGCGAACCGCTGCTCCAAATTGTTCCATAGATCACAAGCACTTTCCATATAAACCAAATTTGTTCGCAAAGGCTGGTCTACCGATGTCATAATCCATCCCACGGCCATGGAATGGACCGTCATCCAGTCCTCAATGTCCTTTTCATCGTTCTCGGGTCGCTTCAGAGTTCCGTCAAGAAATGCCAATTTTCGTTTCGCACGAAAAGCATTTTTCATAGACGTTGCCCATTCTCTATAGTTGCTCTCTCCTTTCAGAACTATCCCACAAATATTCTGTCCAGGGTAGTCTGCGTTGGACAGATAGTAAGGCGAAGCAGGGTCTTTGATTTTCCGGCGCACAACTTGTTTACCGGCCATCGTGGCGTCGTCGTCGTTTCTGTTAGTACACGTAATATTTCCCAGAACAGTTTACTGCTCTGATACCATGTAAAGTTGCACCGAACAAGGAAGGAAATTTTATGTATTCACCCGCATCATCGGAATGACCCATGCATGGTCATATATACATGCTACTATACAAACCGTCTCTCGTACGTTGCATGGTAACAGCGAGAATCATGGAGCAAAAAGGGAAAGAAAATAACGATCTACACCTTCTATGTAAGACACAAGCTACGTACTACAAAAAATGTGACATAAAAAATATTTGTACATAATAATAACTCCAACAGTAAATGCATTCTGATAAGCCAATCTACGTATATAGTTTCTCATAAAGGCAGTCAAATTGAAATTATGTAAACTTAAATAACTCAAAATCCATTCACAAATCTCTTACGTGACATCACAATACCTAAATGATTAACCAAAAACACAAGTTGTTTTTTCAAGCAAAGTAGCTCTTGAGGAAATTGCATCACCATGTTGGACCGGTTCTCATTTTCTATAGAAATTTTTCTTCTTCTCTTTGATAACCTTCCCTTTTTAAAATTGCAGAGTTTCAAAGGCCGACAAAATATTAACTATCAACAGTTAATCTGCTCAAAACAAAGACATTGATTTTTAGAAATAAGACCTTTAAGGAAACTCTTGATGCGATTAGCCAGGACTTTTGGGAAAAAATTATACACAACATTACAAAATTATCTTTTTTGTGATAAAAATTAAACTAGTACGAGGTATGATTTCATTTTTTTGCCACTTTCCCTTTTAAGTAAAGAATTTGTGATTTCAGATAATTCTCTCTTCTCTGCACAAACCTCAACCACACAATTTTTACTTTATTAATCCCCGTGCCGGTCAAACTTGACAAAGTTTTAAGGGACGGAGGTAGTATGATGTAAGACTGAATCGAGAAAAGTGTGCCACAAAGTAATGGAGAGAACTAAAAGTGTGACACACAAGTAATAGGAGTACATGTAACACTTGAGATTTAATTTAAACGGATTAATAGTACTACTCATACCAACAAGGTGCATCTCCTTTTAAGGGAGCTCATTAGCCAATAACTCCAAAGTTAAGCGTGCTTGCACGGGAGTAGTCTTGGGATGGGTGACCCCCTGGAAGTTTCTTAGGGCGCGCACGAGTGAGGACAAAGTGCGCGGAAAAGGCTAGTGGCGGTCTGTGAGGACAATACTAGAGGTCAGGAGTAACTATCTCGGGGCCTACAGGGGCCGGGGTGTTACAAATGGTATCAGAGCAACCCTGCAACAATGTGCTGATCCGTTGGATATCGGGCAGACACTTAGCATTACTACGCCGTCCACTTAGGACTCTACATTCCTAAGTGGGGGTGATTGTAACACTTGAGATTTAATTTAAACGGATTAATAGTACTACTCATACCAACAAGGTGCATCTCCTTTTAAGGGAGCTCATTAGCCAAGAACTCCAAAGTTCTTGGTGCTTGCACGGGAGTAGTCTTGGGATGGGTGACCCCCCGGGAAGTTTCTCAGGGCGCGCACGAGTGAGGACAAAGTGCGCGGAAAAAGCTAGTGACGGTTTGTGAGGACAGTACTAGAGGTCAGAAGTAACTACCTCGGGGCCTACGGGCCCGGGGTGTTACACTGAGCACGACACAGTCTTACCTCTACCATGGGATTTGAATATGGTCTGCTGAGGTACTAGAGGTCAGAAGTAACTATCTCGGAGCCTACAGGTCAAATGTAAAATTAAAATGAAAGTACTTTCCAATGCAAAATAAAGTTTGCCACCTCAGCTGCAATGCACAACCGCATTGGAGTTGCTCTAATATCGACATCTTTACCTTAAGGCTTAAGCCGTCCACGTGAATTTTGAGAAGCCGTATTGCACATAACACTAATACTTAGTCCCATATACAATACGTTAATATATTAAGGAGTATTTTGTTAGAGTAAGGATGTTGTTGTTTGGAGTTTGGACTACTTTCAGTCCCACAATAGACGAGACTTATATTATACTTCTTCCGTTCTTTTCTAAATGCAACACTTAGCGTTTTTGGCAGTTTCAAATTAAATGCAACATTTCCAATTTTAGTAAATAAAATAAGTGTAAGGTCTTTAATGTGAAAAAATGGAAAAGGTTACTCCCTGAGGAGTATTAGAGAGAGTTTAATGTAAAGTACAATACTGAGCCTATAATAATTATATTACACCCCCTCAAACTGTGCGGGAGATACAATGCACAGGTTGTCTTTCAAAAAATGAAAACGTTGACTAGATAGACTTTTAGTAAAAATATCTGCCAGCTGTAGATGAGTAGGAACATGTTGAACAATCAGATCTCCATGAGCAACCCGTTCGCGAACAAAATGATAATCAATCTGAATATGTTTACTGCGAGCATGCTGAACTGGATTTGCAGTCAAGTAAGAAGCAGATATATTATCACATAATAAATGTACCGGCTCAGAGATAGGCCATCGAAGTTCGAATAGGACTGAGCGGATATGTAGTGTGTCTTGTACTGTGTAAGCAATGGCACGACATTCGGCTTCTGTGGAGGACTTGGACACAGTGGGCTGCTTCTTAGCCTTCCAGGAAACCAAATTAGGGCCCAAAAATACAGCAAAACCTGTGGTAGACCGAGAACTATCAGGACAACCTGCCCAATCTGCATCGGAGTAAGCAACTATACAGGTTGGCCGATTAGACTGCTGAAGCCAAAGTCCATGATCTCGTGTTCCCTGCAAGTATCTGAAAATTCTTTTGACTGCAAAAAGATGAGTGGTACGAGGAGCATGCATGAACTGAGACACTAAGTGTACTGCATAAGTAATATCTGGTCGTGTCAAAGTTAAATATTGTAATGCACCAACCATGCTGCGATACTCAGTAGAATCAGATAATAACTCACCATCAGAAAGAGACAGAGTGGTACGGGAAGCTAATGGGGTGCGAACAGGTTTGACAGTATGAAGGTGAAAACGAGCTAGAAGGTCAGTAACATATTTATGTTGAGAAAGAAACAAACCTTTAGCTGAACGAATGGCCTCAACACCCAGAAAATAATGGAGATTACCCAAGTCTTTCATAGCAAAATGTTTAGATATAATTGAAATAAATTGGGTAACAGAGAATTCAGAATTGCCAGTAATAATAATATCATCCACATATAGTAATAAATATATAATAGTATTATTCTGGCGGTATATGAACAAAGAATTGTCGGATTTGCTACAGAAAAAATTATGTTGTAGAAGAAAGCTACTAAATCTATGAAACCAGGTTCGTGGAGCTTGCTTAAGGCCATAAATGGCCTTGCGCAGACGACATATATGATTAGGAAAGTGAGGGTGAATAAAACCACGGGGCTGCCGCATATAAACTTCTTCTGTCAGATTCCCATGTAAGAAGGCATTTTTAACATCAAGTTGTCGTATACCCCACCCAAAAGAAATAGCTAGAGTAAGTACAATACGAACAGTGGTGGGTTTAACAACAGGACTAAAAGTTTCAGAGAAATCAATACCTGCCTGGTGATTAAAACCCTGTGCAACTAATCGAGCTTTATGGCGCTCTAAGGATCCATCAGAATGATATTTAGTTTTATAAATCCACTTACAACCAACAATATTTTTAGAGTTATCAAAGGGCACCAAGTCCCACGTATTATTATTAATGAGTGCATTAAATTCATCAGTCATCGCCTCACGCCATTTTAATTGTTTATTTGCCTCAGTAAAACAGGTAGGATCTGCATTGATAGTAACTGTACTTAAATTAAAAATGGTTTTAGGCTTAAAAATTACTGACTTAGCACGGGTTTGCATGGGATGGTGATTAACTACCGTAGTGGACGTAGGTGAGGTGGTTTCAGGTGAGACAGTGTCGATTGATGTTGTCTGTGGCGTGCTAGACGAAGTATGGGAGGAGAGATGGGGTGGTGGGGGGCTGGTTGTGGACGTGGGATAGGAGGAGTGGGGTGACGGTACACACGGAGTGATAGGAATACTTGGTGACCAAGGTGGCGATGAAGGGGTTGGTGCTGGTGCGGCCGTAATTGTGGGAACAGGCTGGAGAGGTGGGTCAAGAATGATATCGCTGAGATGCATAGGAGATGGTGTAGTAGAAATAGACCTGGATGGAGCAGACGAGAGAGTTTTAAAAGGATATGTGTCCTCATGAAACCTAACATGACGGCTAACATAGACTTGACCTGTGAAAGGATCCAAACAACGATAGCCTTTATAACCGGATGCATAGCCAAGGAAAACACACTGAACTGAACGAGGTGATAATTTATTGGCTGAGGTGGCATTAAAATTTGAATAACAGGCAGAACCAAATACTCGCATAAAGGAGTAATCTGGAACTCGGTTAAACAGTTTTTGATACGGAGTAAGACCATTTAAGGTAGGAGAGGGTAATCTATTAATAATATATGCAGCAGTAAATATGGCATCGACCCAATAGTGACTCGGAACCGAAGCTTCAAGAAGCATGGTCCTAGTTAACTCAAGTAAATGACGATGCTTGCGCTCAGCAACCCCATTCTGTTGAGGTGTGTCAGGGCAAGATTTTCTAAAGTAAATGCCATTAGCAGAGAAAAATTGCTGCATATTATTATTAACAAATTCACCTCCCCCATCACTTTGAAAAATTTTAATTTTCTGATTAAAAAGATTTTCAACCAAAGCTTTAAAATTTTTATGGCATTCGTAATGAACT